GACCGCCTCCTTCAACAACTGATGGGTGACTGATTAATTGAACCATCGACTAAAATGGATAAAGAAATATCGTACTTAATACAATGTCAATATTATGTTATAGTAAGTTATAGAAGTTAATGTTATATATTTTTCACTAAGATAATATACCAAATTAATGGTAAAATATATAGAGAAACACATATGAACACGTCTATTGGGTTTGAACGCATAGCTAATGAATCAATTGCTCTATAATCCTCCCCAGCCCTTAAAAATGCTCTTTAATATTTAATAATCCTCCACACTCATTAATATAACTCTTTTTACCTCATTAATGGTCTATATGAATATTGTTATAAAGAATTTAGTTAGTGTTGAAATTTTTAATAAGTTTCCCTCAAAAGTGAATTATTACAGTTACATTTTCGTTTTCTATGATAATTACAAAGAAACAGTAATTCTTTTGTTTTATTTTTATTGGGAAACTAAACTATTCCTTATTACACGTTAAGGAATATATTAGAGATGTATTTTCTTATGATATAAGTTACATTTATTCTCAATAGATGGCGAAGGCAATTACTTATAAGATTTAATTGGATAAAAGACGTAGCTTATGTCCCTCCTAAGCCATTAATATGTCTTCCTTAACCATTAAATCCCCACCCCAGTCATAAAGCTACCACCAGATGGATTCTCAAAGGTTCCTACGTTAAGTTTTCCTCCTAACTGGTGATGTGAGAACGTATCTAACTGACTCACTTAAGCTACCACACAAAGATGGATTAAGGGTTCCTATGTTAAGTTTTCCTCTAACTGGTGATGTGAGAACGTATCTAACTGACTCATAAGCTACCACCACACAAAGATGGATTCTCAAAGGTTCTATGTTAAGTTTTCCTCTAACTGGTGATGTGAGAACGTATCTAACTGTCTCCTTAGCTACCACACACAAAGTGGACCTCAAAGGTTCCTACGTTAAGTTTTTCCTCTAACTGGTGATGTGAGAACGTATCTAACTGTCTCCTTAAGCTACCACACAAGATGGTTCTCAAAGGTTCCTACGTTAAGTTTTCCTCTAACTGGTGATGTGAGAACGTATCTAACTGTCTCCATAGCTACCACGCAAAGATGGATTCTCAAAAAGGTTCCTACGTTAAGTTTCCTCTAACTGGTGATGTGAGAACGTATCTAACTGACTCCTTAGCTACCACGCAAGGTAGGATTCTCAAAAGGTTCTACATTAGTTTTTCCTCCTAACACTGGTGATGTGAGAACGTATCTAGCACTGTCTCATAGCTACCACACAGATGGATTCTCAAAGGTTCCTACGTTAGTTTTCCTCTAACTGGTGATGTGAGAACGTATCGTGACTCACTTAAGCTACCACACAAAGATGGATTCTCAAAGGTTCCTACGTTAAGTTTTCACTCCTAACTGGTGTGAGAACGGCGTATCCTAACTGACTCATAGCTACCACACAAAGATGGATTCTCAAAGGTTCCTACGTTAAGTTTTCCTCCTAACTGGTGATGTGAGGACGTAACTGACTCATAAGCTACACGCAAAATGGATTCTCAAAGGTTCCTACGTTAAGTTTTCCTCTCCTAACTTTGGTGATGTGAGAACGTATCTAACTTTGTCTCACTTAAGCTACCACACAAAGATGGATTCTCAAAGGTTCTACGTTAAGTTTTTCCTCCTAACTGGTGATGTGAGAACGTATCAAACTGACTCATAGCTACCACACAAAGATGGATTCTCAAAGGTTCCTACGTTAAGTTTTCCTCCTAACTGGTGATGTGAGAACGTATCTAACTGACTCATAGCTACCACACAAAGATGGATTCTCAAAGGTTCCTACGTTAAGTTTTTCCTCTAACTGGTGATGTGAGGACGTATCTAACTGACTCAGCAAGCTACCACGCAAAGATGGATTCTCAAAAGGTTTCTACGTTAAGTTTTCACCTAACTGGTGATGTGAGGGGAACGTATCTAACTGTCTCATAGCTACAAGATATGGATTCTCAAAAGGTTCCTACGTTAAGTTTTTCCTCTAACTGGTGATGTGAGAACGTATCTAACTGTCTCATAGCTACCACACAAAGATGGATTCTCAAAGGTTCTACATTTAAGTTTTTCCTCTTAACTGGTGATGTGAGAACGTATCTAACTGACTCACTTAAGCTACCACACAAAGATGGATTCTCAAAAGGTTCTACGTTAAGTTTTCCTCTAACTGGTGATGTGAGAACGTATCTAACTGTCTCACTTAGCTACCACACAAGATGGATTCTCAAAGGTTCCTACGTTGCAGTTTTCCTCCTAACTGGTGATGTGAGAACGTATCTAACTGACTCACTTAGCTACCACACAAAGATGGATTCTCAAGGGTTCCTACGTTAAGTTTTTCCTCCTAACTTTGGTGATGTGAACGTATCTAGCTTGACTCACTAGCTACCACACAAAGATGGATTCTCAAAGGTTCCTACGTTAGATTTCCTCCTAACTGGTGATG